TTAACCTTGCAAATGGAAAATAATATTATTCTAAATTTAATTGTAAATCAGGATTTTCGCAAGTAAAAATGGAAAAAAATAGTATACAATAAACTGCATTTAGTATACCTCAAGGAAGATATGAATGGTTAGTAATGTCATTTTGATTAAAAAATGCACCACAAATATATCAAAGAAAAAATTGATAATATATTTAAAAAGTTTAGTGAATTTCTGATTGTTTATATAGATGATATATTAATATGCTCTAATAGTAAAGAAGAACATAAAAATCATTTATTACAATTTATAAATGAATGTAAAAAAGAAGGAATTGTATTTTCTAAAAAGAAATCTATAATAGAAAAATAAGAGATAGACTTTTTTGGTTTATTAATTGATAAAAGAGGAATAAAATTACAGACTCATATATCCAAAAAGATAGAAAGTTTTCCAAATAAATTAGAATCCAAAAAACAAATACAAATTTTTTTAGGATGCTTAAACTATGCTGAAAAATTTATTGAAAATCTTTCTAAGAAAAGACATAAAATACAAATATTACTAAAAAAAAAGGACAAATACTAAAGGATTGAGTAAAGAACATATAGAAATAGTTAAATCATTAAAAAAAGAATGTAAAAATTTACCAAAATTAAGATTATCAGATGAAAAAGATACTTTGATTTTTAACACTGATGCCTCAGATAAATATTGAGCAGCAATATTAAAAACAAATTTAAATGAGATTTGTAGATATTCAAGTGGAACTTTTAATCAATTAGAAATAAATTATACCACTCATAAGAAAGAATTACTAGCAATTATTAGAGGAATAAAAAATTTCTCATAATTCTTATTATCCAAAAAATTTACTTTTGAGACTGATAATTCTCAAATTGCAGGATTAATTAGAAATAAACTATCATCAGAACCTCAATACAGAAAGCTCCATAAATGACAAGATTATTTAGCATTTTATAATTTTGATATAGTTCATATTAAAGAAGTTCATAATTTTCTTGCAAATTTTTTCAGTAGAAACATAGAATTTACTGATGGATAAGGTCAGGGTCATGGAATTATACCAATATATCCTACATATACAAAAAAAGGACATATATTTTTTTTAAAGAAGAATCTGAATACATAAAAACTGGAGCAACACATATCTCAGAGATGTTCAACTCAAATATAAAAATATTGTTGAATATCACTACCGAACATCATAAAGAAGCCATAGAACTCAAAAATCAGGTTGATGCTATTGCAGCACAACTAAAAGATATACTGTCTGAGACAGATATACCAAAGAGCTCAGAAATGAGTTTTCGCAATCAATACCAAATAGGGACAGTTGGAAGTAGCAGTTGACCCAGACGTGACACCATACCAATTGATAAAAAAAAAGATTTAACACCAACTAAAAAAGTGGTGATACATGGAGATATAAAATATTTCAAAACTATTAGTATCATAGATTAGGATGATACAACCCCTTCAGATCCAAAAGAAGAAGAGTATACTAAAATAGTCAGAAATGCTTATGAAATAAAAATAAGTGATTCATATTTCATCTCTTCATGAAATAATGTTTATCCTAGAATAACAGCCATGGAGGAGGAGACCCTTCGTTGATAAAGATTATGACAGACTATGGATTTGATATATCCAGGAAAAGATTTGATTGAAATTTCAAAATTTGATGACATATTCATAAAAGAAGTATCAAGATTTGCCAAGGGGACGAAGAATATATTTGAAATTTTATTCAATAAGTCCTGAATATGATGGAATTGTTTGTTATCCAGTTGATCACATAACATCAATTGGATATGTTGCAACGAACTTCCAAATAAATGTGGTGGAGAATGATTGAAAAGTTCCAACAGTGACAAAGTTATGGATCAGACATAGAAGAGCATTTGGAATTAAAGCTATATATAATATTGCTAAAAATTTGTTTGATAAAAAATTCTCATGCTTGTGTCAATATAAAAATTGGATGCTGGTATCAAATGAAAGACATGGAAAATCAGAAATCTTAAATGACTACATTACAAGATTCGAAATATATCGATTTTCAAGATGTCCTACCATTATAAAAGAATTCTGCCAACTAAGGGAGTGCCCCAACCGCATGTGAAGATATAAAAGATAGATGACACTAATAGAAAAATATGCTCTTTTGATAAAAAGTTGAAAAAGTATGTAGAGACATGAATAAAGGAGGACAATAATAGAAGCTTTTTTTTAATAAAAATCAAATGCTGCATGTGAAGATGTAGGTTCAAGGAGGACAATAATAGAAAGGCAAATGTGCATTTGTTGATGTACTGAATAATGTAATAGATCAATAATAGAGTCTCGTATATTTGTATAAATAAAGGCATTATAATAGAAGGAGATCATCTTGAAATTTCAAGTTGTAATCAATAGCTACTCTTAAACCATCCCCAGTTTGGAAAACCAGTTTTCTGGAAATCCTTGTAAATCAAATAGAAGTCTTGTATAAATTCTGATTGAAATAAAAATTCCAATATTTTGATATCAATATGAGTTTTCCAAATCTTCATTCCTATAGAATCTTGAGGGATCTAATAGAAAGATTCCTTCTTATTTTAGCAAAAAGAAAGTTTTTCTTTAACAGAAATCTAGAATTTTATTCTTTAGAATTGATACAGTGAGAGCAGGAAACTGAAATAGTAAAGATTTCGTGAAAGCAGGAGGCCGTTGAAGGAAGCGATTTACACATTCAGAGCTCAAACGTCATTCGGTTCTAAGAATAAAGATCCAGATCAAAACTAAGGTAAAATTAGTGATTTTTTGCTAAAACTAGAATGAATCTTTTTAGATCTTAGAGAATCAAAGGGATTAATTGCATGATTTGATGATTATTAATGCCAGGATATACAATTGAAGGATTAGATATTTTATTAGAAAAAATGTTAGAAGAAATAAAAAATATTATTTTTCAATTAAAAAATATGAATGCATCTTTTGAAGAATATAATATGCTTAATGAAAAATATGAACAATATATTACAAATTATTTCAATCTATTTAATCAAAGAATGAATTTATATGTTAGAATTCTAAATAGAATAAATATAAGATAAAATGGTTTTAAAAGATTGGAATATATGTTGCAATATAGAAAGAATCATTTCATTAAGAACAATATAAACTTTTCCATAAAAAGAAATAGTAATAGGCTAAATAAAAAAATCCCCCAAAAAGTTGCACTACAATATGGACCACGATCAACCTTGTTACTTATGAGGTGCCCAACACTATGGTAGTTTAGACTTAATTCCTACCAACAATCACCACCTAACTTAGCCCATTGATTACGCATGGTCAACTTGATTGTGGCTAGGCATTGGTCATCTCAATGGGGATACCTAGACACCAAGAATCGAGAAAGAGAATAGTAATGGAGGATGATGGTAAGCTCTCCGATTCATTATTCAATGTACTAAAATGCATTTTCTACTATGTTCAGTGTCCTCTGACTTGATGATGATCGCTATTCTTTGTGATAATATCAAGCAATATACTTATTTTGACATTTTGTATTTGATAGATCTAGGAACAATTAAAATAAAACTAGGACATCTTTCCCAAATCTTAGTTATAATTATTGAGTATATTTAACTTACAAGACTTACATTTATCGAAGTTTTAGTTAAGCTATTCACGAACTTAAAAACAAAATATAGCCCTTGTTTGAACCATATTTTTCATCAAAATGCATTATTTAACATTGATTTGACACAATTTCAACCAAATTTTTTTTAATAAAATAATATTACACTTAAATCCATAACTTTTCTTTACTCTTGTTTGAGCCACATTATTTTTTTTTAAATGCATTTTTGAATATTGTATTGATGAAAAATGTGTAGTTAAAAAATAAAGAAAAGTTTTAGATTTGTGTATAAAATTATTTTATTGAAAAATGTGTGATTGAAATGATGTCAAATCACTGTTTAATAATGTATTTTTTTAAAAAAATATGGCTCAACTATGTCCTTTATTTTCTAACCACTCATTCTTCATCATAAGACTGCTTCAAAATACATTTTTTGAGAAAAATGGGCTCAAATAACCACATAATATAAGTTTAGGCCCCTATGAAAAAGAAGGGAAGTGATCAACACATCAATCGACTAATTCATTCGGATTTGACTAAGGGAGGTGTCTTTTCTTGAGAGCTTATGTAGTCCAATATATCATATAAATACACCAGACAAGTGGGCACTAAATTCTTGAACATGTTTCAAACCTCATATTATTGTATTGTTTTAATTCAACATAATATTCATTAACTTGGTATTATAGAATATTATACTAATAAAATAAATACAATAAATATTCAGCCTCGATTTGTTTCCGATACTTTCCCCATTAAAATAAAAAATATGACAATTATTTATCACATCAAACCACCAAATTTGAATTTCTATCTGTTGCGTGGAGTCCGTAATGACTATATTTTTCATTCACATTTTTCCAAAAATGAGAGCTTGGTATTTTTCGCAGCGCTTTGTTGTCTTCTGGCGAGTTGTTAGGATTTATAACAATTCATAAAGGTAACTTAGAACAATCTAGTTATAAGCATTTGAAGTTTTGACGAATGTCTGTCAATGTAATAATCGATTAAAATCACCACCAATTATTTTATTTTATTTTTTAAGTGTTGTATAAACCGATGCAATTTTGTTGAAAGTTTGGATTCCGACAAATTCTTTAAAGTAGGAAATAATTTCACAACTAATGAATGATAAATATTTTAAGCTTATCTCTTTAGTATGTCATAGGAAAGGAATTTTCTTAATAATTTATTCTTGAACTACTTATCAAATTATAATAAATAGAACAAGTTACGATAGAATTGACTCAAAATTGGTTGTCTGTGGCCGTGCTAATGGCCAGTAACATCAACACGAGAAACATTCAAATAAGAAAGAAATGGGCCCAGTCAATTCTTGAAACTCTCAACACCTGGCAAAAATCAAGGCTGAAATCTCAAGTTACAGGTACGTGATACAATAATTCTGCCGACGATGGGTCCAAATAAAAATCTGTCCCAGTCAGTCCATGAACAAATGAATTAGTTTCAAACTCAGCCCGTATTTAGTGATTCGTTTTTCGTAACGCGAAGCTTACTGTGAGTATAAAATGGCGGATTCTAGTGAAAAAACGAATGGGGCTTTGATCGAGGGTGGAGGGGACAGTGAAAACTCTGGGTTTCATGCAAAGATCAAGAACAGTTCCCATCCAGAAAAGGGAGAAGTGACTCTTTACATTGTTTTCAACAATCTGATCAACGCAATTTTCTTTAAGAGCCCAAATTCACGTTATACTTCCGCTCCTCTGCTGCAACGGATTAAAGGTTCCGTTTCGGAAAATATTCCTCTGCTTCCCGACGCTTCGAGGAACACTGGTCGCCATGTTCTTGCCTGGGCTCGCCGTGGCAGCCCCCTCCGCCTCCTTCTTGTCATCTCTGTAAGTATAGTGTACAGAGTCTTGGGTTCGTCCTTGTTAAGAGGAGTAGCCCAACACAGCTATTAATTTGGTATTCAGCTGGAGTTTTACCCTTTACATAGTAAACTGTGGAACTTCAATCTGTTATTTATTTATTTATTTTTTGCTGTAATGAGTATCAATTTTGATACGGCTACATTTTAGAATAGATGCATGTTTTTAGGAAGAATTATTGACTGATTTCTTTAATTTCGATTTGATCTGATATAGGATTAACTAAGGACTAGTGGATTTGATCTAGCTTATTGTAATTTGATAGAATTGTGGCAATTTCTAGAATTTGAGAAAATTTCTGTTTTTGTTGGCTCAAATTTAGGCAAACCATAACTAAGAAGCTTGTGAGTTTGATGTGTGAATGGAAATTTTTGGTGGTAAGTTCTATTATTATCAAGAAGCCAAGAAACCTACTTGTATCAATTTGGGCGATACCTTTGTTAGTAAAATAAGGTGCAAAATTAGTAAATGATTCAGCAGAGACTGGGGATTGTTAGATGGAGGCATTTTCCCAATTATGCTCGTGAATCTAGTGTTTTGGAAATGATTAAGCATGGATGGAAGATTATCAATGAAGGCATTTTTCCGATTACACTCATGAATCTGGTGTTTTAGAAATGATTCAGCATAGATCCCTGAATATCTGATTGAAGCATTTTTCTCAATTATACTAATGATTATATTGTTTTGGAAAGGATTCAACATAAATTTGAGATTATCAGATGGAAGCGTTTTTACCGAGTATATATGCCTTGGTAATTCTAGATCACACTTGGCATACAGTCTACTACACTTGGCCATTGGATTCTTATATTGACTCAACCCTTTGACCCTTGTCCACATTTCGTGTTTACACTTTATGTGCCTGTATTGGCAAGACCAACATCAGTTAAGTGCCATTTTGGCTTGTAACTTCTGCCTATTAAGCCCTTGTTTGAGCCCCATTTTTCAACCAAAATACATTCTTCAACGGTGATTTGACATCATTTCAACCACACATTCTTCAATAAAATAATATTATACGCAAATAAAAAACTTTTCCTTATTTTTTAACCACACATTTCCCATCAATATACTATTCAAAAATTCATTTTCTTCACAAAAATGGGGCTCAAACTAGGGCTAAGTTGTATATTAGGTTTCCCAGAAAACAGCATTATATGTCTGCTAGTAGAAGCCAAAGAACTCTGTGATTGAAATTAGTCTTTTCCCATCGACATGTTCTCTTACCACTTACATTTTTCTTTAATCCCTTCATGCCTCAAATATTCTTCACTTATACAAGTTTAGGTAGGTTCATGATCCTCCCTTTGGGAGCATCATATGTTGGAAATTTAAGTTCCAATTACTTTTCAGATTTTGTTCTGTTCGTAACCTGTATATTTTGTTAGAACTTTCCTACATTGATCTCTGAAATACTTATAACTGTTGCAGGTCGGGACTATTTCCCTCGTCACGTTGACTGGATTGCTAGTATTTATGCTTTTCTTTACTGCAGCAACCGTCAATGCCATTGTTATTTCTCTTTTCATGTCTTTAGTGGCAGCAGGAGGGTTCTTGGCTCTTTTCTTTGCCTGTGTTGCGGCCATTTATGTTGGCGCACTGTCAGTAGCTATATGTGTCATTTCCACAGCAACGATTTTAGCTGTTATTGCTGTTCTTGTAGCTACAGGTAATCTACTAAGATTCTTTTATTATGTTTTCTAACAGTATTTGACACATTCGAAAATTTCCATGTCTGTATTTGTTGCTTTTCCAGCTCCAACTTTTTTTTTTTTTTTTTAATGGATCCTCACTCAACATTTTATTTATTTATTTTTAAATAATCCCATTACGTTGTTTTCAAGTCCTTTTTCCTTAATTTTAGTTGAACCTGAATTCTTTTGAACAGTGTGATACTGTGATTTGATTCTACTATAATTCTTATTTTTGAGTATGACTGAAAATGGCAATTTGTATATCTTCTCTTGAAGTTGAGTTCTTATGCTATTTAAAATCTTTAGATTCCAAAATGCTCTTCCAAACTTCTAAACTTCCAAGTTATCCCTTTCTTAGTGCTTATTTCGATAAATTATAAGTTGCTGAAATCATAATGTGACAGAAATGAATAATGGATTAGTTGGTAGTAGTTGTGGGTCCAACGAAATATGTAGCTAAAATTAATTTTGACTTTGACCGGCAAGTTATAAGTAACTTATAATGTTTCCCAAAATAGCACTTGGTCTGTGAACTAAGTCCGTATTATCAACCAAATTCTCTTGAATATGTGTCTTATAATTGCGTCTTCTTTAAATAAAGTAAAAAGATACGGACTCAATATGAAACCTTCGGTCAAGTATTTTTCTGTTGTTTTTACATTAGACGATGACTACCATTTCTGTTATCATTACGTACAAGCCAATATCTATATATGCTGGAAAAACTTATAAGAAAATGTAGATTCTACTTTATTCCGGTGTTTACAAGCTAAATGAACGTGTTGCTTGACTTGTTATTATACATATCATGTATAACTATCGTAAACTTTTCATGTGGGATTCAGGTTGGATTGGATTCTTCTGCACCGTGTGGCTGGTGACGAAGAAAAGCATAGGTTTAGCCCGGCATTCCCTTCACATTACGGGATCAGCAATTTCATCTTACTCTTCTACAAGGCATGTTTCACGTCACCCTGAATCGAAAAAAATGGAATGAAGAGCTGTTGCAGAAAGGAGGTTTCACTATGTTGATATGTAGCGTGCCAAGTACTAGTTTATGTTTGCACTGTATTACCTTGATGATGATATTGTTGCCCGTGATTATCTTTTTCCTCGTACTCGTAGATGTATGCGTGGATGTATAAGCTCTTTATTGTGTTCCGGTTAAATTATGATGTTGTTGAATTGTTGTTCTCTGAACTTATTTTCAATTGTAAATGATAAGGTACGAGAAATGAAGATCTAACTAAACCTAGGGGTGGCAATGAACTTGGCTCAGACCTTAAATACCTTAGCTCGGTTTGTGTCATGTCCAAATCCTAGGTTCGACCCTTTGGCTCTTGGGTCGAGCCACACATGAGTTTGTTGTTTTTTGTAAATTAATAAAATAAGTAAAAAAAAAATAATCAAATTTTTTTATATATAAATTAATAAAGTAAGCTGAAAAGGAGAGAAAACGAGTCGGCAGCGAGTTCAAACGTGTCAGCCCATGACCCTCACAAGCCAAGTACGCTCAACTTGCTAAAAAAAGATCGAGTCGGGATGAGCCAAATCCACGGGTGGGCTAGAGGCTAGATATTTTTCAACACCTAATTAAACTTATGGCTAATGGAAAAGAATAAAAAAAATAAATAAATAAAAATAAAAAGTGAAAATTACATCCGTCCCTGGTTTTTAGATTCCTAATTCAAAACTAAGATTAAAAGAATTTTTGTTCAAAAATTAGATGATAATTCATCTTTTAATACTAATGATAATATTATAAAATTAAATTAATCAGCATACCCCTGTCCACTCCCAAATCCTAAAATTTTCATCATTCTTTACTCTCTCCTTTATGTTCTTTTTCTAACACAGTCTCTCATCGGCGAAACTCATCCATGTCTCTCGATGGCGAAGAGCGCTGTGCAACTGTTGTACATGGAGCGGCACAAGCTAGCGTGCCCTTCTCTCCACTCTATCTTTAATAGCACAGTCGTTGCTGTCGATTGCAGGCAGAATTCCTAAGCAAAGATTGTGTACAATGCACGACGTTGTTACATCATTGCCACGCTTCATCCCCCTTCATTGTCGATGCGTCGAGCTGCTTCTCTCCTCTTCATCGTCATTGTGTGACACTGCTTTATTGTCATAACTTGCACAGTGCTTGCTTGGTCTATGCAGTGACGGGTTTGGTAGTATTGTGACAATGGGTTGCTGTTAGGATAAACATAGGTGTTGTTGGTGTTGTTGCGGTTGTGATGATGGGTTTGGTTTTTCGATCTTGTGCCATCATGGTGGTTTTTGGTGGTAGTGTTGGTTGTCATCGTCATTGTTGCGATGGTTGTCATCATTTGTGGTGGTGGTGAAGTAGTAGTGATTTGTAAGAATTGATTTGCTGGATTTTGTGTATGGCCCAGCTGATTTAAATGGACTGTGAAGTGTGGCCCAAACTTGGTGGGCAATTGATGATCCATTGTGAAGAAACTTCTAGAACTGGAGCCGGTTTGTTATAAGTGCAAAACAGAAATGCATTTTTTTTGTTATGAAATAACAACTCTTTCGGATTCGAGACAAGTGGCAAGAAGTGGACCGTTGGATGACAATAAATTGTTACTTTCATATAAAAGGAAAGTAAAAGGGGCGATTAGGGTTAGAGTTTTAACCCCAGTAGCTTCGAGATTTTTCTCTTCTGAGTCTCTTTCGTCTTCTCCTTTTTTATTCGTTCTCTCTTTAGATCTTGTGTGATTTTGGTTGAGAGAAATAGGAATTTAGATGAACTCTTGTGTGAGTTCAATATTGCTGTGAGAAGATCATCCGATTTTGAGAAGTTTTGTAACTGTGTGTTCTTGAGATTGTTTTGCCTATTTTTGGGCTGTTCATAGTGGATTTGAGCTTATTCCTGATGGATGCTCAATAGGGATGTAGGCGTTAGATTTGGTCGTCGAACCTCGGGACCTTTGGGCCGAAAAATCTCGTGTTCTCTCATTTTATTTTTGCTTTCTGTGTGTTTGGTTTTTGATGTGATTCTACATGAATGAATTTTTCTAAACACAACAGTGGTATCAGAGCGTTTTAGGAAAATCTGATTTGTGCCGCGTTTTGAGTTTCTGCGTTTTTGGGCTCGGGTTCTGTTGACACATAAAAATTCAGCCCAAATCGAACGACCCAAGGAATGAAGCCCAATTGGAGGATCCCCAAATCAGATAGCTCAAAGAACGAAGCCCAATCAGACAATTCAGGATGAAGGTCCAAATAGGGAGGCCCATGAACGCGGTAACACCATCGCCCAAGCTTGCAAGTCGCCCAGGATTTGAGCGAATGGAGTGCCATGCAGTCGTCCAGAGCTGCTACTCTATTCTCGCCCAAATCTTCGAGTCGCCCAAGATCTTAGCAAACATGAAGTGTTATAGTTATCAATAAGCGCAGTTATCAAAGCAGTTATTAAGCAGCCCTATCACGTTCCACGATTCAAGGAATTCAATTGAAGACGGTTGAACGACAAAGAGTAATGGCAGCAGTTAGAAAAGGCAGTTCCATAACAAGTTGGCCATTATGAGGAAAGTGGGCAGTTATAGAACGATTAAGCAGTTTTTAGGCGGTTGATCACAAAGAGATCATCCAGGGAGTATAAAAGGAAGAAAAGACATAGAACAAAAGACCCCAATCAAAAACTCTCGAATAGGGAACATGTAATTTTAAATTTTTTAGTTTAGATTTAAACACTTCTTTCAGTAACTTGTGTGCTTGCACCCCTTGGAGGCATTCTATTTTTACTTTCCGATTGTAAAGTCATCGCCAATAAAGAACACCCATTTTTGGGACTTTGCCTCAAGAGGTTTGTTCCTTACACAATCGTCTGATCCCTTTTTAATTGGTAGCGACGAACCCGCTCGAAACAGGTTCGAACACTCAGATTTTTTGACTATCTACCATTTCCTGTCTTCGATCCTTTAAAAATTTTAAAGGGGTTCTTGTAACACTGTTCGATTTCCTTTGGTGGTTCTGAGTATCAATTTCAACTTCCACATTTTTTTTAAAACAGTTTTTGTAACCGAACGTTTTTCTTAAAGGAGATTAGGGTTTCTATTTTGAATCTTCCCTAAATCCACCTTTGTCTAGGGGTCCTTGAGAGAACCCTAGAATCTGAGGGGACTAAGGTTTTTCGATTCAAGAAATCTTATAATTTTTTCTTCTCTGTATCCGGTTACTGTGAAGAGATACTTTTGAAATAATTTTTTTTCTTTCTTCTTTTATATATATATACATACATATATGTATAAATATCATTGGATATATATTTGATTCACTGATACTCAAATTTGATTGTACAGGGAAATGGCTGATACTGATTGTCAGAGACAGTCTTCCTTGGAGGTATATGTACCACATTAATTTTTCTGGTAGATTACTGAGTGTAAGAGTAATCTGTTTTGTACTCCATTATGTGCTTGACAATTTTTTGAATATTATCCTTGCATATAAATACTGTGATCTCTCAAATAATTGACCTTTATTACATTACTGTGACATACTACTTGTTAGTACATATCTGTACATACACATTGCTCACACTACTGCACATCATGACTTCTAAGGTAGATGTCCAGATGTGGGATGGCAAAGGAGACTTTAGTCTCTGGCGCCAGAAAATTAAGGCTTTTATGTTACAGTTAAAACGTGCTAAGGCAATTGATGAATCTTGGCCAGAAAGCTTGTCTGAGAATAGAAAAATAGAACAAGATGAACTGGCCTGGAGCACTATATTTCTACACTTAACTGATACTGTGATTAGGAAAGTAGGTGAGACCAAAACTGCTGTAGAATTGTGGACAGCATTAGAGAAATAGTACCTCACTAAAACCTTACCAAATAAATGTTTTCTTTGGAGGCAGTTTTTCAGTTTTAAGTTTGATCCTAATCTTGATATAGAAGATAATATGGATAGATTTAATAGGATAACTCAAGACTTGATAAACTGTGGTGAGAAAATATCAGATGAGCAAAAGGTAGTTGGTCTACTTAATGCCTTAGGAGATAAGTACAAGATATAAGAAATGCTCTGGAGTATGGTAGGAGTGACCTTACTGTTGAAATAATTCACAGTTCTCTCTTGAACAGAGAACTGGAATTTAAATCTAAACACAGAGAGGTGTATAATGTGGAGGGTGTGTCACCTAAGCAAAGAACACTTGCTAAAGGTGTGAGCAACTATAGTTACTCAAATTACAACAAGGACAAAAACTTTGTCAAAAAGAAATGGAGTAACACCAAAGGAAAAGACAAGAAGCCACTTAAAGGAAAGGCATATAATAAGAAGTGCTTTTATTGTGGAAAAACTGGGCACTTCATTAAGAACTGTTTTAAAAAGGCCCATGACCAAAAGAAAGATTCCAATACTGAAAATGCCTCATTGAATGCTCCTGACTATAGAGAGACAGGAGCAAATATTGGAGTAACCTATGTGTCAATAATAGAAAATTATGATCAGGACTGGGTCTTAGACTCTGGATGTTCTTTCCATATGACACCTAATATAGGCTACCTGACTAACTACTCTGAACTTGATGAAGGGTCAGTAAAACTTGGAAATAATGAGACATGTAAAGTTAAGGGTATTGGAAATATGTTGCTAAAACTTCAAAATGGTCATCACATGTTGCTAAAACATACAAAATATGTTCCAGCCCTTAAAAGAAACCTCATATCCTTAGGTGTTCTTGATGATGAAAATTATCAAATAGAAATAAAGAATGACTCTACCAATATAATTAGAAACCAAGAGCTTATTGTCAGTTCATTAAAGCTGAATGGAATTTATACAATAAGTGTTGAAATAATTTCACCTAATAATGGTGTGAATCTTGCCACACATACAGATAAATCAGAATTATGGCACAAGAGACTTGGCCATCTAAGTGAAAAAGGCTTAAAGACTCTATCATATCAAGGGGCTTTTGGAAAAGACAGTGTTCAAAAATTAACCTTTTGTGAACATTGTATAATGGGAAAACAAGTTAGGCTGCCATTTAAGGTAGGGCTGCATAAGTCTTAAGATGTTCTTGAGTACATACATGACTTATGGGGACCTGCCCTAGTACCAACAGTATCTGGAAACAAATATTATCTTCTTCTCACTGATGACTATTCAAGAAAAACATGGATTTTCTTATTAAAGTCTAAGTCTGATACTTTTACAATTTTCAAAGAATGGAATTTAT